ATGTGTGAGGATACATTGACCAAACGCACAAATCATCCACACACATTTAATATCAGACACAATATATCTTTATCTCCTGCAAAGGCCCCGACTATAACGATGAGCAGCACATCTAGCCGGCCTGTACCAGATCGTGCATCTTCACTCTGACATCCCATTTAACATCTGTTAAGATAACAATGACTTCAGCCATTAACCAGCGCTGTCGGGAGTCTGCATCTCCCTTCTTTCCCTCCGCTCTGACATGCAGCAGACCCCTACGGTCTAACTAAGCCATTTCAAGAAGCCATTAAGTGGCTGCTAAATACAACATTTTATACACTATCAAATTCAATTATCTGGCAGCCCACTGTCTAGTCTATTAAGCATTCACTGGAGGAGGGAGGCTGTGTTAGCGCCCAGCTGTAGCAGATGTGTTAAGAGCTTTGCTAGCATGTGGGGCTCTATGGGGGATGTGGAGGGATTTATCTGCTGTGCTCAGAGAGAGGCAGCTGGGGGGTTCAAAGGGGTAATAGTTGCTTGATAATGGGCAAAAGTCCTTTCAAGAATGTGTTTAATAATATTTACTGTGATCTTGGACAGCTTGACAATTGAATCCTAATTTGAGGACTGTTGTGTGCTTGTTTCCAGGCCTCCAGCAATCAAATAATCAAACCACAAATGGCAGTCATAAAGAAGCTGAGCGTAGATCTCGTGGGTGTTTTCTTTCCTGATCTTCAACTTTATTTTTTCCTATGTAGTCATCAGTATTTCATATTATTGAGAAATGATTGAGATATAAAACCGTGTTTTCAGGGGCTTTAGAACAAGATCAAAGCTGGATCTTTATTCCATATCATCGTTTAGTCTACGACTGTACGGAGGCAACGCATCGCAACAATATAGTGACTGGGAACGGGAGAAGAAATCTTAAAATGTGTGATTCCCAGTGCAAAACTCACACGGTGTGTACATGACACACATTTATTATTTAGTTTTGCGTTCTGTTAAGTCTTCTTTGTGTAAGACCTCCATAAAGTTAGAAGATTGAAGTAGGTTTCTTCTCTTCCTTCACATCTTCACATTACAACCGCAGAATAAAACACTTCTTTAAAGTACACAAACTGCCTCCTTAAGTTCTCCACTGACTCCTAAAAACAACTAAAATCTGTAGCTTCAACCTTCATACGGAGAGATTGTGTAAGCCATTCCTAGAACCTGCACAGTTTTTAGTCAAAAGTGCTTTTAAAGCGTTTGCACCCTCATCTTGACGTGAACTACAAACACTTTAAAGAGATTATGATTATTAAAAAATAAAAAAAATGTCCTTTATGTGAAATTTCTTCTGTTTCTAATTGTTTTTTTTATTGCCGTTTTGTTTGTTGTTTGCACTTTTATGTGAAACTTTAAAAAGCTGCCATCTTGGCCAGTACTTAAATGTTGAATCTCAAGGGGAATATCCTGATAAAATAAAGGTTAAAATATAATAATAAGAAATTACATTTATTGTTGTGAGGACGTTTAGTGAAGACATAGCCACAGTAGGACTCGACATTATTCTCAATCGATGCACACTAAATCAAATACTAATATACGACAACGATAAATTCTGCTTGCAACGAGTCTAAACTATAATTTAAAATGACAACATTTTGGTTAGAAATACCCGACAAACACACCTCGACATAAAACCTCTAACTGCTCAAAGATGTTCAATGACTGACTGTTGAGGTCCAGGGATATTACTCATTCATCACGAGTATACATGTGGTTCACTACTAATTAACCAGCAATAGTTACGAACATAAACATGATATGAAATGTCTCCTGATTGTCAGTCTGGTCTTCCTTAATTCTCTTCTCTTACCTCAGATCCCTCTGAGTCTGAGCAGCCAGACTGGAGGTTGAAATGGATAAAAAGCGATAAGAGAAGAAGGTGAGAGAAGACAGAAAGAATTAGAAAAAATAATAAAAGATTTAAAGAAATCCCTTTGATTAAATCAAATCAAATCTTTTTGTTTTTTTGCTGATGCAGCGTTTGCTGATGCAGCCTACCCACCATGTCATCCTCCCCTTCATTGTCAGTGATGGCCTGGTGGATGGTGTGGAAATAAAAACAAGCAAATTATAAAACATGGAGGACAAAGAAACAGTGATTATCTAAAGAAGAAGAAAAAGAGACTTGATGCTCTGCTGAGGTGTTGTAGCTTCTCAGATCAAGCTCCACTAAAACTAAATGAGACACTAACGTATGATTATGATAATACTTTCTGTTAGCCATAATCTCAAACGAGCTTCAATGACATTGCAGATGAATTTGGCTACAAACACCCTAAACATAGGCAAAGTGATCCACCATTACATCACATTCTACTGTACACACTCACTATATAGCCAAAAGTACGTGAACATCCCTCTGGAGTACTTACAGTACAACAAATATTAAAGGAGACATATCATTCATACATATATTTAGGATTTTTACCACAACATGGTCAAAAAACAACTATGGTTCAAGGGTTTAGGGTTTAATGTTTGGGTGTCCACATACTTTTGGCTAGTCGGTGTATTTGCTATTAAAAATAAAATGGTATTGATCATACAGATGAAAAGAAAGTGGATGGATTTATTCAGATTTCCGAAACTTTAACCTAAACTAACCAACGTTTTCTCACAGCAAGAAAGCAGGAAACGCACAGCTGAACCCAATAACATTAACGATGACAGCGAGCCAATACACACGATGGACTATGATTCATGTTATTATAGGTACAGCTGTGTGCGAGACAAGTTAAACCAGTTTAAAACCAATAAACAGTATCCAAACTGAACTGTGAGGTTCGAGGTTGTGACCCACCTCCTCGTCTAACTCCTCGGGTTCCTCCTCGTTCTCAAGCTTTTGGAAAGAAGCAGCACCGTCAAGAAAAGCACAGGGTTTTATTTTTCATCATGTCAGGTGGAGAGGAAAACCAAAGTCTATTTCTGGGAGTAAAAACTGGGAAGGAGGAGGAGGGGGAGGAGGAGGAAGAGTTGACAGGTAAATTGGGATCAAACTAAAAACAGACTGGTACACACTACTGGGGTTCAGGGCGGGTTCTTTGCTTTAATGAACTTGTTTATTTCGGATGTTTTTCTTCCAGGAGCAACAGGGGAAAGGGGAGCGAGGGCGAAAAAAGAAAGCTAGACATACCATCTCCTCCTCAGCTGTTAACTGTAGAGACAAACACACACACACACACACTCATTCTCACCTTACGTAAATTAATGGTTGGTCCAACAAACGCAGGACTTTTCAACCACAAGACCGGTGTTCATCAACCGGTGTTCCAAATTCAAAGTTGTTCTGAGCGAAACGAAAAAAAAGGACAATTTGTGTCTCTGTACATAAAAAAAATAGCATTTCGGGACTTTTTCACAAACTGCCGTCAGACTGAGTTGACTGGAACGTACCAATACCAACAGAACTTTTTCCAGCATCGTTTCTAGAAAAGTCTGTAAGCTCACAAAGATATGAAATTTCAAAAAAATAAATCCGGATAACTATGTTTTTGAAAATCCAGAAGCAGCTATTGGATACAAGCTTTGATTTTGAAAACGCCCACATGTAGAACAGACACTTCAGGCATTCGACTGGCGCGGAAAAATGTTTACATTTGTTCACCGGTACAGTGAAACTACGAATTGCTCATTAAATCAGTTCTGGTGTGCAGCAAATTTTTACTTCAAACTTTTTCTTTACAGCCTCTAATTTAGATGGACGCAGAACTGCATTCATTCAACCGTACTGGCTGGTATGAAGTCTTTGTAACAAAAGGTTTGAGTTCATGTTTCGATTTGATCTTTTGCTGTAAATGCAGCAACACCACACTGTGTTTTTTGTGAGAATTCTGATAAGACTGAGACCAGTTCACAGTGGAAACAACCTGCATTACACGACAAAGTTACACTTATATGAGGGTATTAACCGAGCTTTTCATTTTCAAGACAGAGTTTGTCTTTCAAGTCACACGATTCCCCCAAATCTGATCAGCAAAGCCATGTAAAAGCACTTAGTTGAAGAGCAACGCTGCAGTGTGCTTTACTTCATTCCCAAAGACTGGGTCGGGACCCACAGGTGGGTCACAGGCGATCCCATCAGGGTCGCCAAATAAATTTGCAGAAGTTCTTCCATCGTCTTTTATTTAACATTTATATTAAACAAGAGCCTGTTAACTCTCTAAATGAATTAATTTGGTCTCATTTATGTTCTTGTATGTTTTCAACAGATGCATAAAACAAAGTTGTGATTTATCAAACGTATATGTCTTCTAAATGGCTGGTTTATCTATTCAAGATAATATAAGTGATGCAAAAATGACATCGACCAAAGAAATTCGTTGTCAACTAACACTCATATATGATTTTGTCAACAAATCGATTAATTGATTTATTTGACAGATCGGAGTTTCTCCACCGAGAATCACAGAAAAACGACACTTTAAATCTTGTGTTTACCAGAGATGCTCTCATTAGTTTCTTGGTAATAAATCATTCAGCATGAAAAAAGCATAAAGAAACCTAATCAAGAGACTGATTAGTCTTTTAATCAACGAGTTTAATACATTTTTTCCTCAGTTTTCCTTATTTTAATTTGTATTATATTTCTCTAAAGTCCCCCTCCACTGAAATAAGTAATGAACAATATTCACACGTTCATAGAATCTTACGACGGATTAGTCGACTAAGCGGCTGAGGAGGGGCAGCCGTAGAAATGGCAGTAAAAATGCCCCGGTCCTTCGCTCGTCTACAGATTTATAGATTACGCCTTTCGTGAATTGGGTCTTGATGGTTTGCCATTTTTAAAAAAGTGGATCCCCAGAAAAAAAAGGTTTGTGAAAGACCCAAAACTTCTCATTTCCATATTTTGACCTTGAACCAGAGAGAAAGAACTCATTTAATTTTTTTTATTTTTTTTTTTATGTATGTGTGTGTGTGTGTGTGTGTGTGTGTGTGTGTGTGTGTGTTCATCTGTTAGTGCTCACCTGTTTTGCTCCCATCGACTCGAACATCTTCTCCAACAGGACCCTCATCTGCTGGATGTTGTTCATCAGCACACAGGGCTGGAGGAAGATGGATGAGGAAGACAACGGGTTGTCAGGGACAAAATGAATGAAAGACACAGAAGCAAAGAGAAAGAAAACAAAAGAGATGTTAAAGAGGAACAGAAGTGGGCAGCAGCAGCTAAAATATGAATCCACTTCACAGAGAGCGCTGTAGCTTTCACAGTGCTTGGTCTCGGAGTGGCGACGCAGCGGTACTCACTATCTTCTCCTTCTCACAGTAGGAGGGAAAGCCCTTGGCCAGCAGTGCACAGTACTGCAGCAGCACTTTGGTGATCGTCTGTGGAAACAAGATAACACACACACACACACACACACAAGGAGAACATGTTTACTCCGGGAGCGTCTGAACACCGGTATTTACTCCTCTAGTTTGCTTTGTTTGGTCAGGTGAGAGCATGTTATTGGTCAAACGGCGACGGCTGATAATGAGCTTCTCTGCGGGCAGAAATAAGAAGGTTTGTTGTGTCGAATTTCAAATCGATCCAAGTCAAGTCTTCATGAGCAAACTGTGGCTGACCGTTAAAATGCAGAGTTGGAAACTTAGTATATTTACTGAAGTACCATACCTAAGTACAATTTTGAGGTACTTCTACTTTCCTTGAGTATCTACTCACTTATAGTATATACTTCTAAGTTACTTTGCAGATTTAGTTAAAACACAATATACTGTAAATCAACTCATATATTTGTGCTGGTGTTATTATGGATTGAGCTACTTAACTACATTCTGAAGGTTTTTACACTGGGGGGGGTTGTTGATTCATGGCCGGATTTATGCAACATTTCTTTCTTTAAAACATGGCGAAAATAGTTTGTTTTGTCGGGCTGCTGACAGTATGTTCTCATTAATGGAGTTATAAAAGAGATATTCAAAATGTCCTCAGTAAAAACCTTTGACTCTAATAAGTCCACAAAATGAGACAAGATTTTTGAACCTGGCTTTATCCATTTTCAGAAAACTTTCAGTAGAAAAAAATGCTCTTAATGTAAGAAATCAACTGGGGAAGTTTCATGGCGATATCTATCAGTTAGAATGTAACCTTATTCACCTTCAGTGTCTGACCTTAAACTTAAGGGGGACTCATGTGTAACTCACGTCTCATTTTTGTGACTTAAGTCCTCATCTCATGTCTACGTCTCTGGATTTAAATCTAAGCTAACAACCACAAAAGTGAGCCGGAGTCAAGGTGTGAAACTGGATTTGATGGGAGTAACAGAGTGACTAGTTGGTACCACTGTAATCCCGCCTATTATGTGTCCCTGAATTTGGCAACACATCTTCGGTGTTACGTGGGCAATTTTCTGTCTTTGCAACGACCCTCCTGCCAATCAAAGACTGTAGGCGGCACTCAAGGGACATCTTGGATCTCTCTTGATGATCCGTTTTCTCCAGGCACCGTCTTCTTAGTTTGTTCTGTCATGTTGGATATTAGTGCTCACACGCAACAAGCCAATCCTGTTTCTATCAATATCTATTTTAACAAAGCACGGTTCTTGTTGCCAGGTGAATGAAACATGTGCAGCCTTTAAAACCATCCACTAATGTACTGTTCACTCTATGAACACTGAGTTGCCAGACAAACCTTCACACAGACTGTACAAAACAAAATAACAAGTCATGCATCAAACTGCAAAGTGTTCTCCTCTGTGAGGATTTTAAAGTTATCGTCGAGCGATGTTTGCTGAGCAGTTTGATGTGAGGATACACATAAATGCCAAATGATAAAAAAAAAGTGTGCGTTTGACCTGCAGCTTTCCCTACTTTCCGCAGAGTCAGCAAGATGTCTCTCTTACACTCATGCATTAAACATGTGGCCTGATGGCTGCCTGCATTACTTATAATGGTTTCCTCTCGTTGTACAACCCCC